GATAAGATCCTGCCAGCGACATGTACTTTATATATGCCACTTGCTCCGGCTTTTTCCCCTTAAACACGATTCCATGTTCATGAACTTTCCACGACGATATTTGGTCAGAAGTATACAATTGTTCCAACCACTGCGTTTGCTGCCTTTCACTTTCAGTTTTTCGCTTTTCCTTACGCATTTCAATTTGAGCAAGGTGATCAACATAGTCCTTCTTCACAAACTTCTGGGGGACAATACAGTTCCGAGAGAATTCAGCTTTTGTCTCGTCGTCTCCTGGATTTAATTTGTTTTGGTGGAACACTCTTTTCATTTGAGCTTGGGGCTGAAAATCATCAGGTTCACGACCATCGATAGATGTTGCTGATAGTGGTAGATAATGGTAATCAGGAAGCTTGTCATAGTCAGGGAAGGATCGTATAGTTGCCTCTACGACCCAGCCCTCCCCCTTATTAAAAATGTACCTTCCCTCATATACGCTCATTTTAACCCAGATTTTTGTTAACCCGGGCTTAATGGCTTAAAGGAAGCTACGCCCCTGTTCTAAGAGTTTTCCGTTCACTTGCTGACTAATTTGTTTCAATAATACTGACAAAAAACTCTACAACTATCGTCCTTCAGTTACTACTGGTCATGATGCCGGATACTGAACATCACTTCTTAAGGCTCTGTTTTACTTAAGTGCTACTTCTAAACCATTTAATGATTGCAATTAAAAAATATATGACTTAAGCTATTGCTCACGATACTGAATGTAAGCTCTTGGGTTTTCCTTTTCCCTTGCTAAACTACAGTCATAAAATACTGACAAAACTCTACAATAATCAACCTTAGCATACAGGTCAGGATGATGCACTTGGAGTGCTAATTCGATCTAAGCTATTTAATGACACCAATAAAAATATAGAACTGTTTAAATATAGAACTTTTGCTTATGATACTAAAAGTACGTTCTTAGGTTTTCCTTTTCACTTGCTAAACTAAGTCATTTACTTTGATACCAACGAAAAGCTCTACAACTATCATCTTTCAGCTACTGTTAAATTATAATCATGATGCCTGATACTGGACATCACTTCTTAAGTGCTAGTTCTAAGCCAATAAAAAACGTTTCAAATGTAAAGCTTAAGCTATTGCTCATGACACTACAAGTAAGTTCTTAGCAGTTTCTTTTCACTGACTAAACTTAGTCATATAATACCGACAAAAAAACTGCAATTACCAACCTAAAGCGACTGGTCATATTATAATGCATTTGGAGTGCTTATTTTAAGCCATTTTATGACATCAATAAAAGTAAAGAACTTTTCAAATACAAAACTTAAGCTATTACTTACGATACTGAATGTAAGTTCTTAGGTTCTCCTTTTCATTTGCTAAACTAATCATTACCAACCAAAAAAATCTGCAATTAACAACCTTAAGTTACAGGACATGATGATACAATAAGAGTGCTAATTCGATCTACGCCATTTAATGACACAAATAAGAACAAAAAACTCTTTAAATACAAAACTTAAGCTACTGCTTATGATACTAAAAGTGAGTTCTTAGGTGTGTCTTTTAACTCGCTAAACTAAGTCACTTAATATAATAACGACAAAAAACTCTAGTCTTCAGTTATCAACCTTAAGCTACAGGTCATGATGATGCTGAAAATCATTTCTTTAGGTTTCCTGTTTGACTTGCTAGTTCTAGAAGCTATTTCATATAAAAAAATTTAAGTAAGTCGTCAGCAACACACGGATCGGACCGCCGGAACTGGATAAACCGCTGTATCTCACTAAGTAACAAAAGGTTAGGGATAGAGTCACAAAGGTTGATCCTGAGACCGGTCCAATCCAGATTTTGTCAACGGTCGTTTAAATTTAACCCTAAAGCTATTGCCAATAAATCTGAACACTAGTTCTGTTGATCCTCTGTACTCTATGCCTATACTAAGCCTGCTAACGATGCTGAATCAGTTTGGCTTACGATTTTTGTACTAAATCTAAACTCTTCAAATACAAATTAACTAAAGCTATTGCTTATAACTCAAGAAAAGACATGCATGTACGATTAGAAATAGGGTTTCCGGGGTTTAACCCATCCGGTCCGATCCAGGTTTAGTCAACGGTCCTTTAAATATAAAACTAAAGCTATTGCTTATGAAACTGAACATTAGTTCTCTTTTTCCGGCCTCCTTGCTAATACTAAGCCTTGAACTAACAGAGAAATCTTCAAATACAAATGGTAAGCTATCGATAATGATACTAAATCAGTTCTTACGATTTTTGCCCTAAATCAAATACAAAACTGATTAAATACTGAACACGTGTTATATTGCTGTTCTGTCTTATATACTTGAGTTGCTAATACTAAGTCTTAGAAACCTAACTGTTCCAAAATATACCTTGAACCTTGCTTTCGAAACTGATTAGAACATTAACTTCAGGTTCTCCGTTTTACTAGCAACTAAAAAAATGTCAAATCGAAAAAGAAGCTTCTTCATGTAAAAACGAGAAGCTGTTACCTCAGTCAAAATGATGTTAACAGAAAACTATATTTGACCATAAACTTTACAATAAACTGATCACAAACTTACAAAATGAACCTACATAGTTCATTTACACTACACTGTTTTACTTGCTAACATAGTCATTTAATGACACCAAAAGGAAATTCTCAAAAAAATATTCCTTAATCTGTTGTGATTATGATACTGTACATGTTTTCTGTAGGTTTGCTTTACTAATTTTAATTCAGCCAATGTGAATAGAACCTCTTCAAATGTAAGCCTTGTGCTACTGCTTACGATACTCTGCATCAATTTAAGAGGTTTTCTGGTTTACTTGCTAATAATTAGTGATAAATCCTTAAACGATGCTAAAACGATGCTAAAAGATAAACATTTAATTAAAAGGTTCAAACGTACTGTTGATGGCATACTTTTCGAAGCTTTTCCATATTTGAGGGCTTTTTTTCACAGGGCGTTGTTCAATCCACCTCCTGTCAATGAGTCAAAAAGAGACTGGCTGCTCACGTAACATTTCTGGATACTGCATGTACATCCATCATCGATGTTGAGGCTTCAAACTGCCAGATTAACGAGAAAGGACTAAACATCAACAACTATTTCGCAGCACAGTAAGACGAAAAACACTACCACAACCATCAATATTTAAATAAAAAAAAACTTATTAAGTTCTACTTACAAGACACAAGTACTGGTAGATTTAAAAAATATAACGGTTTTGAATAGAATATAATAGGCAGAGGTATATAAAAGTTCGTAGTGAAAAGATAGACATCCACACTTATTGTGAGAGACTGTTAGCAGTAACAATTCTGTTCAGTTCAGTTTAACTGAGTCAGCTGCCACTAGAGTCTTTCCGATATAAAAATCCTGTATTATAATCCCGGTTATATGCCTTCCCGTTTGCTATTAAAATAATGTTCTGGTTACACGCTGATTCCTTCTTAAATGTAAGCACATAACGGTTCCTCAGCAGCAGTCTTTTGCAACGAAACTCCACTTAATTTACTAAAACGTTTTACAATTTCAGTTCAGTTCAGTTTTATTTAGCCAAAGTAAATTACAATGCAAAAATACATATAAGAATTGTTATTTGGCAAGGGAGTCTAGAAGAAAACAGAAGGCTAGTGAAGCCTGGTCTCCCCAGTCACAAAGAAATTAGTAAAATGATCAACCAATCACAGTTCGAACGGAAGAGAAAAGAAAATCTTGCACTCACAATTCGTTGCCAGGTTGACGCACTGTGGCAGAACCTTTGTCTCCAAGTGTTGAGCTTTCGGAAACTACAAAACATTAATTATGATGAATAAGTTATTCAGTTGACAGATTGAAAATTGATGTATACAAATAATACTATCGAAACTATAAAGGCCACTTATTAGTGTTGCTTCAGTGAAAATTTCCTGGACACTATGGAAAGGGAAAACTGAATGCAAAAACCAAAAGCAATCGACAATACTTAATTTACGTATGCAATTAGAAAGTAGCTGCTGATGTAAGGATCCGAATATCCCACAATAAAACTGACTTTGTATTCATTAGTGGTCCCAGATAACAAAGTAAGACCGAACAATTATTACATCTCTGTTAATTAAAGAAGATCTATGTTATCTACCAACTCTGCAAGAATATTTGAAAACTGAGAACAAAGCTACTGGCAAAGGTTTTAAAGATTCACAAAGTTTTCTGGAGCTGAGATATCTCTTTTAATGGACAAGGAATAGCTGAGAGAATTTGGTTAAAGATCAAAGCATTTTCTCTTAGGTGATCATTTCATCACTTCTCATAACGTTTTCTTATGATTATGTATTGATATTTTTAAGGGAAACTTGAGGTTGGTCATCCTTAGGACTTGAATTGTTAAGCCGCCAGCGGCCAGCGGCCTCGGGGAAGGGACTAGTGGCCGCTTAATAAAAGTACTTTTTACAGTGATTTACTGACAGCTTTGTTCGCAGGGAATCTTGTAACAGGCCGCTAAATAGAGTGGCCGCTTAATAAAGATACTTTTTACAGTGATTTACTGACAGCTTTGTCTACAGGGAATCTAGCAACAGCTGGCCGCTAAATAGGGCGGCTGCTTAATAGAGGTACTTTTTACAGTGATGTACTGACAGATTTGTTCGCAGGGAATCTTGTAACAGGCCGCTAAATAGAGTGGCTGCTTAATAGAGGTACTTTTTGCAGTGATTTACTGACAGCTTTGTCTACAGGGAATCTAGCAACAGGCCGCTACTTTTAGGGTGGCTGCTTAATAGAGGTACTTTTTACAGTGATTTACTGACAGCTTTGTCTACAGGGAATCTAGCAACAGGCCGCTAAAAAGAGTGGCTGCTTAATAGAGGTTCGATTCCATTAATATCTACAAACTGCACTATCCTTCACACAAGCTCCTTTTTGGGAACTAATATTAACAATTTAATGTAGGTGTGATCTGTAGACGCTTTGTAACCTTAGTGATTCTTCGACTTACGATAAGGAAAAAAACGCATTACTCACCTTTTGCTTCCCGGTTTACTTTGTCTCGCGGCAGTTTTACTTGTATAACTGTGCACTTATTTTCAAGGGCAATAGCGATCAAACCCTTTTGTGGACAGGAAGCCAGAGACCGGGACGGTACAAAATCTATATCAAGTACAGTTAGGACATCCCCAGTGCTAACATTGAACAACGGAAGATAATAACTCCCTGAAGTATTATCGCAGACGATAACACATTCCGTCTTACTTACAAAGGCACAGCCAAGAATACTGTCAACGGTGCATAGCGTCCGGAGATGCTTTCCTGAAGATGCTTGAAGCACAATTACTTGTGAGTTTGTAGATGAGACAAGGACAAACTCCTCTGTTGGAGAAAACATCCCAGGTATCATACTGTTAAATAAATCATCTGAAGACCATTTCAGATTTCTCTTCCATAGTCCATTTTCGCCGTCTGACAGCTGAACTGAGCTAGGAGAGGTGGTTAGCAGCTGATATTTACTGTTAAATACTACGGATACTATACAAAGCGAAAGAGATGTTGACTTGAAACCCTCGTGACAACGTGGGATAGTCTTCACTATGTTTCCATTTGATGTGTCCAGGATGCTTACTTCAAAATCTCTCCCCAAACACGCTACACATTGATCTGAAACTGGCTTTATATCGCTAACCTCGCCTAAATTAGGCCAACTTCGGATTTGTTGTGACAAATCAAAACTCCATAGCTGAACATACTCCCCAAGTTGTTGTACTTGCAAAAGGACACCTTCTGACACAGGTACAAGTAAAACATCATGTGCTTCTATCACTCCCCTTGCTGTGAGATCTCCACTCGACACATCGAAAGACATCACATAGCAAGAGTTTATAGGGTTGCCCCATGGTTGGACACAATAAATGGTCTTTCCATCTAAAGCGAAGGCAATGCGATGGATACTACACCAGAAAGGAGAACGCCAGTAGGGCCACCACCTATCTTCCGGACGAAGCATTGTAATTTTCGTGTTGCCAGGAAGTACCCTTAATACACGTTGTTTGTTTAATACAAATGCAAACGAATCAAGGGAACACCTGTAACTCATAGGATCTCCCATCAAAAATCCACCGTTGCTAGGTGATTCGCAATTCCATGGATCCTGGCCAAAATCATTGTCTAAAACGTTCAAGGAAAAGGTACCACAAGGCAACTTGCTGACGTTTAAAGGAAAACTTAATTCTCGCAACTCGTTGCGTTCGTCTTCACTTGGTAGAATAGGCCGAGACAAACAAAAAAGGAATTGAATGTCAGAGGTAAACTTTATCATTCCACAAGGTTGATTGGTGGCGATCTCTGCGAGAGTGCTGTCTAAGCAGTTTAATGCGTCAACCAAACATACCAGTCCCGAAAAATGGGAAATTGCCAGAAGCGTTCCATCTGGAGACCAAGCAAAAGACAAAACATCTTCATTTCTGATGGTTCGAGTGATCTCTTCACCATTTTTTAGATTCCACATGACAAGGCATTTAGCATCGCCAGGACAATCGGTGATAATTTTGCTCTCGTCCCCATGAACTGAACAAACAGAAAATCTGCAGTTGCTCTTAGGGAACAGAGGTAGTAGGTCTCCGTCAATTGAGTAGGCATGGCTAAGGATTCCAGGAAGAACAATGGGCTCAGTAGGGTGAAAAACAACAGAGCGATAACATGAGTATACATTTGAATTTGGTACCACTCTAAAAGGGCTATCAGGTCTAAAGTAGCATTTCTCGACCTCAACCCGACGTATCCACCTGTGCTCACCCGTTTCAAGTGACCAAAGGTAAATCATCCCATCAGTACATTCGCAAACCATGAACTCCTGCTTTGGTGAGATATCAAAACAATCAACCACGGTATTACAGGGAAACTCAGCCAGGGCCCATGTCCACACCTTCTTCAAAGTTTCCTTATGAAGGTACTCCATGTATGGCATTTCACGACTCTGTAAAACTTTCGTAGCTTTACCAGCAAAAACGTCCCCTCCCTCGTTCGCCATCACTTGAAATATTGTCCTAGGATGCGTCGAAAGTCTTCCATGGTACTTTCGTAAGAGAGACAACAACGTGCCAAGGGCTTTTCGCCTCTCACTACTCAATGACTGAAAAGCATCTTGTTTGAGAGTAAGGATAATGTCTTTAGAACTAGCCGTGTTGTTTACACAAAGCTTTGCATACACAATGTCTAAGTCGGTGACATAATCGTTAACGATTTCTTCAAAGCTTCTTGTACTCTCCTCTACCTCTTCCGACTCGAGCATATGATAAACACCATGCTGTAGGGCGTACCTTGCAGTGTTACTGAATTCTGTACCGTGAACGCCTTTTATTTTCACGTTATTCAGTTCATTAGTACAGAGCTGAGAGAGCACGGCATGACCTTGCTTTTCATCCACAGAGAAGGTGTGTTGCCCGTAGGTAGTTCTGTCAGTCAACCAGTCCTTAAGTGATTTGTGGAAGAACACAATACAGTCATCATGAACAGGTAGAAGGGATGAGATAGAGTCGATAGCTTTTGTTACTTTCCGAGGACCAGATGGGGACTTCGAGTCCGAAACCAACATACTGGAAACAAAGTCTCGTGGTAGCGGTTCTCTTGCAGCCGCCAAAGCGCTTAGAAAAGTAAAAAACTGGTCCCCATCAATTTTTAATTCTTTCTCTAAACGTTCAAAGTAGGACTGATAAACAGACGATACACCTGAAGGTAAAGTTCTTCCTAACTCCTCGGGGGTGAGAAGTGAAATGTTTTCGTTGATAAAATCGACCATCAAATACGCATATAAAAAATGCCCTGCAGCCTCTCGGACCAGTGCATCGATAACGACCTCTTTAGAGCCCGATTGAATATCGCTGCTCAACTGTTTTTCAAGGAAGAGTCTGATATCTTTCACGTTTTCTTCGTTATCTTGCTCCAGCTGTATAGGATTAAACTTTTTAAGACGATCTGCAATATTTACTTGAGGTCGAGTGGTAACAAGAAACCGGAACCAAACAGGAAGTTTACAAAAGAAATTAGCTACGACATCAAGCAGATCATTGCGGCCTTCGTATTCACTTTCATCCAGGCCATCAATAACTAACAGCAAATTTCTTCCACGGTCTCCTACGCTGCATAAAGGCTCTTCGAAAAGAAATTCGAACAACTCCTGAACTTCTAGGTTGTTCATGTCCACACCCAAGTTTCTAGAAAGTTTCTTCACAAGTTCACTTTTGTATTCTGGTAAAACATCACAAAGCTGACAAGCTAACGACTGCAGCATCACCTTGGGGTTTCTGTAACGTTCCTTGTTGTGCTGACAAAAGTGACTTCCTGAGAGCCGACCAGCGTGTTGCATTCTCTGACAAACGACAGCCGCGATCACTGATTTGCCCATTCCCGCATCGCCACTGACTACCATCACACGATTTTCAGATGAAAGGTCGTCTAGCCACAACTCGATCTTCTCAAAGATGTGCAAGCGCGTTTTCTCCAGGTATTTACCAGAGTAGTACTGGATGACGCTCTCGGAATTAACTTTTGCTAATTTTCTGAGAACTTTATCCTCTTCAGCTTTATCTCTTCTTTCCTCAGAGTTTGCAGCCTCATACTTGACCTGCTGCTGCAATTCTCGTTGGATTGTCTGAACGTCGTGTAACATTTGTTGTAAATTGCCAACTGCCTGGTGTGTATCTTCAAGCCTCTGTTCCACTCTGCCAACCGTTTGTTGTGTATCTCGAAGAGTTCCGCGATTTTCCTGTTGAGTTTGGAGCACTTGTTGTTGTTTTGTACGTAGATCTTTCAGCTGGAATTGGATCTTCTCGTCATTTTTCTCCCATTCAGTAACAGCGCTGATATAGTCCTCCCCACAAGGCTCTCTTTTTAATCTGTCCACTTCAGACTGATTCAACCCAAGCGAAACAAGAACGGAACTTATCTCCTGCCATTTAACATCGAACAATAGTTTTGGAATACCAGTTGTTGTCACGTGACCATAGAGCACATTTCGATAGTACTTAATCCGAGCAAGGTTAGCCTCAAAAGAGGTGTCACTTGCGGGGGGCATTTTGTGCCAAGAGCCCGAGGTGGGAGGGGATAGTCCGCAAATGTTAGTGAGCAAGAGGAACAGAAGAGTGATATCAAAGTTAATAGAGTTTGGAGTCCCTCCACCTGATGGTGGAAACAGTTTGTCCCATTGACTACCATTCAGAATGTTTCTATGCCGAAGTCTAGTAAGAATGGGATGAATATGACTGGAACCAAGATTAGCAGCCAAGTAGGCAGGAGGGTGATGGTAATCAAAAATATTCCTCAGCACTGTTGTTCCACCATCGATAAGAAGCCTGCTTAGCTTGTTTCCATTTGTTTTGTCAAAAGAGCTGGCGAGGGGTGACGGTGTTGCAGTCGCCATAAAAGCCAGAAAAGGAAATATCCACCACCTTTTAAATCTTCGTAGAAACAAACACACACACACACAAAAAAAACAAATTAACTTTAAATCACAGTTACCTTTTTCTTTTTCTTATAAAAAAAGAACCTAAAAGATTGAGTAGTTGAGTGTCTCATCAACGTTATTAACATATTCAGAGCATCTCATAGCCTGCGAAAACATCCGCTTCTCCTCGCTCTTCGCAGCCGGGGACGTTTCGCGAGGAGGAACGTCTGCGACTCAGCGACAGAAATTCCATACTGATGACGTAAAATCTGTCCGGAATCCGGTCAGAAGCGCTGATTGGTCGACGGAGTAGTTACATTGTTTTAGCTATTGTTTACGAATGACAGACAAAAGACAAAAAGGCCACAAAGGTCAAACGTAAACGCGAAGAATCTCTAACAAAACAGTGGAATATACACCGTAATTTTTAGGGAGTTATTACAACTCTAAAAATGGAGTAAAAATTTTAGGGACAGGATAATCCCTTTTTTGGGGTTATTTTAACTCCTAATTTAACTCCGAATTTGGGGTCATTTTTACTCCTGAAAAAGAGTTCTTTTTACTCCCAGTCTGGAGTTAAAATCACTCCGAAATGGGGTTACTTGTACTTCTTACATGGGTTGTTTTTACTCTTTTTGGAGTTAATTTAAACCCTACTGGACCTTTTTCTCACCGACAACGTGAAGAAAATACAGTCATCGGGCGTAGTCCATGTTAACATAAGTGATCACTCTCTTGTGTTTGCCATTCTCAGAGCATCGGAACCGAGAATACGATCTCGGGAAATACGATTTAGAAGCCTTAAGAATTTTGATGAACAGTATTTTCTACATGATTTGTATAATGTTCCTTTCCAAGTAGCTGAAATATTTGACGACGTTGATGATAGGCTCTACGTGTTTGATTGTTTATATGAGGACATTCTTTGTAAGCACACACCTTTGAAACAGGTCCGCATAAAGGGAAATCAAGTTCCCTTTATGAATGAACAATGGCGCAGAGCTATTCGTCAGAAGAACCGTTTGTGGAAGTGCTTCATTCGTGAAAGAACTGATACTAATTATGAATTGTACAAGAGACAAAGGAACATTTGCACTTCTCTAAGACGTAAAGCTATTAAAACTTTCTTTGACAAGAAAAGTGAGTCGGAAAACCCAAGGGAGTTTTGGGACACATACCGCCCATTTTTGCATTCAAGGAAAAGTACGCAAGCTAATGACATAATACTAAAAGAACACGATGTCGTAATAACATACAAGAAACAAATAGCGGAGCTTTTTAATAGTTATTTCGTGAACATCGCGGACGGCGTGCCAGAGATTACTGAACAGATTTATGGAAAAGGGTTTGATGCACATCCTAGCATTCAGGCGATTTTTAATAACAATGAGCAGATCGCTGCGAGAAACAATTTTGCTTTTCAATATACTAATAAAACCCAAGTGGAAGCTTTGTTACTCAAAATCAACTCCCGTAAATCCTGTGATTATGACGGAATACCACCGCGACTGCTAAAAGAGTCTGCCAACGCGAATTCTGGTCCTATAGCTGCAATAATGAATCACTCGATTAGGACAGGACAGTATCCGTCGCGCTTGAAATTAGGTCAAGTTACTCCTTTATTTAAAAAGGACGATGAACTAAACAAAAGCAATTATCGACCGACTTTTACCAGAACATATTGTCTGAATACATATCTGCCTACAGGAGGCACCATAGCTGTGAGACATTGATTGGCTGACTGAGGACTGGAGGCGCAGTCTAGACAATAAAGAGATCGTGGCGGTTATATCAATGGATTTGTCAAAGGCTTTCGACACCATACCTCATCCTTTGCTACTAGCAAAGCTGAAAGTGTATGGCTTGCACGAATCCAGCTGCACCCTTATCGGTGACTACTTGACGGATAGAAGGCAGCGAGTGAAAATTGGTGATACTTATTCGGATTGGATGAGTGTGAAGCGGGGCGTGCCTCAAGGCAGCGTCCTGGGGCCCATGTTTTTCAACATGTTCCTCAACGACCTCATCTTTCACATTAAGTCTGTAAAATTAAACACTTATGCCGATGACTGTCAACTGCACTCATCTGATGTAGACCCAGTGGCCTTGGAACGGCGGATCAATCATGATGTACAAATAGCAAATAAATGGTTCGAAGACAATGGGATGAAAGCAAACCCTGCTAAACATCAAGGGATGGTTCTTGGCAAAACCGATTACCCTTTCTCCTTTTTAACCACAAGATGCCTGGATCTTTTTGGAATATCTCTAGACAATGAACTTAATTTCAAGGATCACATATCCTCTGTATGCAAAAAAATAAATAATCAGTTCAGTGTCTTCAAAAGATTTGGCAAACTTATCTCATCTGAAATTATGCTTCGCCTTTATAAAGCGTTTATCTTACCCCATTTTCACTACTGTTCAATGATATGATATGAAAATGCGAAGAATTATCTGCAAACTCTTTCGAAATTTCAACAAGGCAAAGAACATGAATCACATGCCGAACTTTCCAAGCGTGATATCAGCACTATAAAACGGAAAGGATGGACTCTAAAGGGCGAAGAAACTGTTACCGCAAATAACAAGGTCGTTGTACCGAAAAGTAAGCTGCACAAAGTTCTCTGTGAATGTCACTCTTCGACTGCGCACCGCGGAAGAGACAAAACCAATACTTACGTAAAAGGTATTTATTCTGAAATACCACAACAAGTTGTATCTTTGTTTACACGTTTGTGTAAACTGCATGCCCAACAGAAGAGCATTACCGACCACAAGAAGCGACCGATAACAAACCCAATCAGTGCTGAAACGTTTATGTCCCATATAGAAATTGATCTTATCGACTTCCGAAACGTCAAATGTTCGTGTACTAATAGCCATCAGTGGGTTCTACACGTAACTGAACACCACACCAAGTATTCTTGGTTATATGCTTTGCACAATAAAACGGCAGATGAAGTGTTAGCAAAATTAGAAGAGTTATTTTGGCTTTTTGGATTTCCGCAAACCCTGCACAGTGATAATGGTAAAGAGTTAAAAACAAACTAATGCATGAATTCTGCCAAAACCATGGGATTAAACAAGCACATGGTGCACCGAGAAAACCACAAACACAAGGCCTTGTGGAGAGAAATAACAGGACTATTAAAGAGAACTTAACAAACATACTTAAAGAGAACCAAGCTGATGTCACAACATGGTGTTCAAGATTGGGAGAAGCAGCTTACAAGAAGAACATTACCATCCACAGAGCTGTCAAGGAAATACCATATCGACTTGTTTTTGGAATTGATCCCAAAAAAGAAAAGAAGTTGAATCCCACCCACGAAGAACAAGAAGAAGATCAGCTGTCAGAGATGGCAAATACAAATGCGCCAGTAAAACGAAAAACCCCACCCACTACTGAATGTGAAAGCAGGAAAAGAACAAGAATCGAAGTCAATTCACGCCAAATTGAGTACAATGAAAAAATGAAGAAGTCCAGGCAAAAGCCTCAAACCCTTAATATTGGAGATTTTGTTAGCATCAAAATTGACCTAGTAGATAAAACACCATTTCATCCGAATGTGCTTATGGGAGAAATCATTGCATTTGAAAATGAATATGCTTAAGTTGCTTGCAAATTTGGAATTATTACTACCCTCATTTCCCCTGCTAGATTAGTTAAATGCCAAGCAACAAATATCAAAATAAGCAAGGATAAGGAAATCACATTCACAAAAGCATGCAAAATGGCAATAGAGCAGTAGAACAATAAACTTCATTTCACAGTTGTGTGTAAATTTAAATATTTATTGATGTATTTAATGATTGATGCACATCAACATTGAATGTACGCTGTAGACAGCTCAATTAGAACGGAAATGACATCATGTCAGTGTTGTAATTAACACCATGTATAGTAGTATAATGCAGTAAAGCCAATGTGACTTCTTAAGTTTCTCTGTGATTGCAAATATTAAAGGACATTCAACATGTTGTTAAATAGATTGTTATTCATCGTGGTAAATGTGATGATAATGTGAATTAATCCATGGAGATACTCATTACAAACTCAATTTTTATGAAGGAGCTAACCCTAACCTTACCCAAAACTTATAGTTAACCCTAACCCTTAATGAAAGCCAACCCTAACCCTAACCCCAACCTCAACCCAAAACTTATAGCTAACCCTAACTCTACTCAAACAAACAAAAAAAAACCCTTGAGCATTTACTTAAAAAAGGAAATAACAGGTTTTATAAAAATAATTTGTTGCAAAGACAAAAATCAACCAGCCAAAAAAAATGTAACTAGTTAAATTTTTTTTTACCTAGTTAGAAAAAATAAACTAGCTAGAAAAAAACTAACTAGTTAGAAAAAAATTAACTAGTTAGAAAACAAAATTAACTGAGACAAAAAATTATCTACAACATATATTCAAATGTCTCCATTTTGATAAATATCCGTGCTATTTAAAACAACTGATCAAGTTAAGATCTACTGCCTACTCCCTACGGGGTACTAATATTTTATCACTTCCTAAGCCGTCTACAACCACATATGGTCTAAATTCCTTTAGCTATTCATCTGTTAAGTACTGGAATTCTCTACCTGATCACTTTAGAAAGACTGTAGATTATAGTGAATTTAAGCGCAAATTGTTAGTGCACGGTTTTAGTTAATACTACATTAATTAATATTATATTATATATGTTATAACTTTTAAAATTAGTTAGGATCGGAGATACTAGCTATGTAAGCTACACTAAAATCCGAGGATAAATAAAGTTTATGTATGTATGTATGTATGTATGTATGTATGTGTGTATGTGTGTATGTATGTATGTAATTTAACTCTGACGGTGGAGTAAACATTTTAGGTACAGGATAACTCCTTTTTTGGGGTTATTTTAACTCCTAAATATCTGGGGTCACTTTTACTCCTGGAAAAGAGTTCTTTAAACTCCTTTTTGGAGTTAAAATAACTCCACGAAAAATACCTCCACTGTAAGGAGTTAAATTAGACCCACTAGAGGAGTTATTATAACTCCCTGAAAATTACAGTGTAGTCTTCTCTAGAAGAAGCATTTGAGTTTTGCTGGAACTCATTGGCAGATGAACACAACACTTTATCAAAATCGACCAGAAGACACGTAAAATTGGACAAATTTATATGTAAAACCCCATGACTACTAGATTTGTTATGTAAACATTGGTTTACGTCATCAGTATGGAATTTCTGCAGCTGAGTCGCCGACGTTCTTCCGCGCGAAACGTCCCCATCGGCGAAGAGCGAGGACAAACGGATGTTTTTGCAGGCTAAGCATCTCCTCACATATCTAACAGTTTAAGTTGAACTGCTATTGAATAATAAAAAACAAAAACACAAAATACTCTTTGTTTTCCCACCACAATTTAACTTGCGCATGCATGCATTTTGAGTGTAAGGATGATCGTAAGTCCCAAAATAAATTAAAAGCAATGCTTATGCAAAAGTTTGTGGGGGAAACAAAGAGTACTATGACTATTAAGGTACTTTTGAATAAGGCCTATTACAGTACACACTTTCATCATCATGGAAATCTATATGTGATATCAATATATTTGGTCTTTCATGTTCATCCTTCACGAGTTTGCAACAAAATGACTAAATGACAAGCTCCGCTCCCGGTTGGCTTGTAAGCTCAATTGGGGAGAAAAAATATCTAAGTAAAAAAACACAACACTTCTAACAAAAATCTTTAGATCCAAGTTAAAATACAACAGTAAAGGGGTCATTGACAGTATAACAGTCAAGGGTACCTGAGAAGTAGTTACTGTCCCTAGTTTAAAACTTGGAGGACATTTCTACAAGCACCAATCATGTAAACACTGAAAAAGAACGAAAAATGTTCATTAGAATTTAAGAAGCTAAATACGTCAAATTTTGGCGGGGATATATTATGCACTTGTAATTTCCCTGAGACACCTTTACTCACACACTGTTGCATGGCTCATTGCAAATTGCAGGACCTATTATATTTCATATAATAATTTATAATAATTTATACTTATTAGGCGCAAAATAGCATTCAAATATATGATCTAACGCGCACTAACAAAAAATATAATAAGATAGAATATAAATAAATAAATAATAAATAAATAAATAAACACTTAAAATTTAGTAGAAATCTCTCTATATATACGATTAAAAAGGCAATTATAAGATTCGATTAAAAAAATGTATTGAAACTAAGTAATTGAAATCATCTTAAAAATGTTAATCGACAAGTCACTCATGAGTCGTAAAACTATAAATCATAGGCTTCTTTAAAAAGTAAAGTTTTTAGTTTGGCTTTAAAAGGCTTCAAGCTTGTTTCCATCCTTAACACACTTAGAAGTTTGTTCCATAGAGTCGGCGCAGTCACTTGGAAAGTCCTGTCGCTTATGGTCTTTTTAGACTTGAACGTCGGTGGAGCAAGTAACAGTCCATCATTTGACTTAAGGTTGTAGGAGGACTTCTCCTTGACTTCGATTAAACTTTGTATGTAATATGGAACCAGCCCATCTATTGCTTTAAGTGTTATAAGTATCACCTTGAATTTAATCCTGACACCTATTGGTGCAACTGACACAGTACAGGTGTGATGTGACAAAACCGCGGAGTATTTGTTATTAAGGCTGGTTTTCACTAGCGACGGAGTCGGATTCGGAGTCGGAGTCGTAAGCGGAGTCGTAAGAGCGCTTCGATCTAGTGAAAATCAAAAATCGGAGTCGTAAGTGGAGTCATAAGCGTGACGGAATCGGAGTCAGAAGAATCAGAACTTCTCCATTTCTTCCGACTCCGCTTACGACTCCGTCGCTTAAGTTCCGCTTTATATGATCTAGTGAAAACCGGATTGTCGGAGTCAGAAGCAGAAGCGGAAGGATAAACCAATCACAATGCACGTTCCCACGCTTTGTGATTGGTTTGGTTCTTCTGCTTCTGCTTCCGACTTCGACAATCTGGTTTTCACTAGATCATAAGCGGAACGTAAGCGACGGAGTCGTAAGCGGAATCGGAACGCTGCTTTCACTAGATCATAAGCTCTACACTTCTGATTACGACTCCGGCTCCGTCGCTAGCGAAAACCAGCCTTTAACCTGGCAGCCACATTCTGAAGACGCTGTAGCTTATTGATATTATTTCTTGGGAGACCGTACAGTAGACTATTACAGTAATCTACACGCCCCATTACCAGTGCATGAGCCAAACAAAACATCTGGTTGAATCCAACGTTAAGTATTTCCTGATCTTTCGTATATTGTGCAGATAGTAGTAACCTGCGCAACATGTTTTTGTAATTTGAGCATCAAACTTCAGATTTCGATCAAACAGAAGTCCAAGATTTCGTGCAGTACTACCAGGAGCAACGCTGATGTCACCAACAGACAATTCTGCGACACTAACCTTTTCAAGTTGTTGTCTACTTCCAATTATCATAAATTCTGTCTTATCATCATTAAGTTTAAGTTTGTCCATCCACATCCATTTTCATTAAATAATGTTAGCAAAAGGAACAATAATGTAAAGAAAAAAGAACAGCTTCCCACGATACCACATAAAACAAAATGAAAGTTTTTTTTTACCATGCATAAACAGAAACCTGGGCAAAATGTTAAAGTTTATTTACACGCTCAGAAGTCCCATTTCACCCCACTCTCTCTGCACCCCCTCATCTCCCTACTTCCACTATTTCGTCCCTCTCCCATGCCCTACAACTCCCCCTCCTTCCCCCTACTAACACTTTCACTTCCAGAACCGCTCTCCTCTCTCATTTACCACTGCTAGTATGATCCACTCACCCTCCATAAAACTACAAATGACACTCCTCCCTCCCTCCTTAGCGAGAACCACCACCACTTGCTTGATTGTTTGAACTTGTATATCCACAATGAATGCTTACCATTGATACCAACACTTACCCTCTCACCCTCCCTCATTTACCAATTGAGCCTACATGTAGGCTATTAGGCTATTATAAACACCCCCCCCCCCCAGTACAATAGCAACTGCCACTACCACATTTCTGATATTACAACTACCACCACCTCGGTGAATTAGCGATCTCACGACATGATAACAACTCACTACTGTGTTGTTTCTAATATATGCTGAGAAAATTGTGCTCATTGGTGAATGAAACAAGTAGGACAAGGTCATCACAAAATAAGGACTGGAATGCAAATGAAATCCTTGGTTCTCTATAACATATGTATAAGACCCTGTTAGGGTAAAATTCCGATATGCGACATGGCCTTGAACGACGACAAATGAGTGGGAAGACATAAAGATGGGTTAAATACAGTGTAACAACAGGGACATGTCCTTCTCCTCAAAAAACAAAATGACCCTATTTGAAGCTTGACCAGGGATATACATACCCCCTGCTCCCCTAAGAAGCCTCATGTACATGTACATGTATAACAGAAGCATCACATTATCGACAGTGATTGGATGACTATTTTTATTAGGCCCAATTTTCATTTGGTTTCCACCCTAGAGTGGGAAGAATCATGTCAAAAACTAGGGGAAACTTGGAAGCATTTAACCTCAGCCACAGGGGAAGATGCCAAAAGGCATCAGTATAGGCTAACTATCTGTAATTTCTAGCTGCATTAACAGCTATTGGCGCATGTATGTATCTACTAACTTATTACAGGAGCCCATAACCCGGTGCGTCTAACTTCCATACTGCCCCTATGCAACGGCGTTTTCACAAGTAGGTCTATTTTAGATAAGCCTTTCCCGCGAATTGCTTTCGAAAAGCTAATCACTAGCAATTGCGTCATCAATGATAAACTTTTAATAGGTAACTAGGACAACTCCTTCACATTGAAAAAAACATGGCGGACACACGTGAGGAATCTTCAGAGAAGTCTTCTGACAGTACTTCAAGCGACAATTTCAGTATTTACACGGAAACTAGCAGTTCAGAGCAAGATTTGCAAAACCTAGCCACGACGTCTACTTCATCGGCGACAACACATAATTCACGCAAAGGGAATTAAATCGAAATCATCTTCGAAATAGCCGACTGTGAAAAGGTCCAAGCGAGCTACTAACAATCTAAACGACGATCAAATGGAGGAATTGACCTCGTGGAACAGTTATTTTTCGCGGGAAAAGCTTATCTAAAAATAAACTCACTTGTAAAAACGCCGCTGCACGAATTTATGGCAGTTGAACGCTCCGGGTTATGGGCTCCTGCTTATTATTATTATTATTATTATTATTGTTGCTGCCAGGCATCAGCCGGCAGCTGACCATATTCTTGATCCATTTGAGATTTTTGGTTCGATGGTTCCATGGTTCGATGGTCAATCTATGACTACAGCGCTTTGCAGGCTGCGGTTTGCTTAAGCAAGTGCTTAGCTGCCGCGCTCTCTTAGGAGCAACCCGCCATTTTGTTTTGCTCACATCTAAGATCTGTGCAGAAATCGTAGTTTTTTCTAAACGGTAAGAACAGTTCAAGAAGTATTGTACGGAACATTTTTTCATTTTTTCTAAGTTTCAAGATTAGTTATAGCGAGTATTCTTTTGTCACACAGATTGTTATCTCGGGAATTAGGATTGTAAGTTACATAAGTGAACGGCATGTCCTGTACATCTACCTGCCCTATGAATAAACAAGTTTTAGCCTTTACGTTCGCAACTAATCTCATCCTGTGTACGATGATTGTTCGATGAAGAAACAGCCTAGCAGCAAGCTGTTGTTTTAGAATTCGTGAATTATTAAAATGAATTACAAAATGGTATTGAAACCTTAGCGAGTTATATAAATGTAGGCATATTTGTCATCGTGATCGGTTCATTTTTTATACTACGCTCTGAGTGTTTCATAATGCCAACAAGTCTAAGTTATTGACTTTAATAAAAAAAGAATTCATTTGTTCAACTGTTCTACAAACTGTCTTTGTCCTATTCGCATCGCAACTAACGGCAGCACTTCCCTTCTCAATGAGAACTTCTAGTTATACATTGTTATTATTATTTACTTTTGAAGTTTGATTACATGTTCAATTGACATGATGGAAACCCCAATAACTGACAAATGCTAAAATAAATTTTTAGAGGAAGTAGTCAAATTTTGGCACAGATACAATCCCCTAGGAGTTCCTGTTTTCGTGATCGATTACGCTAGGATATCTAGCAAGTGACGCCAAGCCAGCCACGACTCTATTTTCATGCAAATTCTGCAAAAAAACACTGTATTGTATTAACCACTAACATGCATGACTGCCTTGTAATCCAGACGAAAATAAAGAGAACAGAGTGCCTATTTCATTAATTCAAGGGACATAATTCTACTTATAGCTGACAGCTTTAAGTAGAAATCAAGAATATTAACAGATAATATGAATAGATTGGGAATTAATAAAGAAGCGCAGAAGCCTTACACGTTCCGGGTTTCTTGAACTACAGTTACAGTGACTCTTTATTACCCGTAGTCTTTCAGAGTCTTCAAGTAATAATAATAATAATAATAATAATAATAATAATAATAATAATAATAATAATTATAATAATAATAATAATAATAATTTAATAACTTCTAGAGCGTTATTTACATTCACTGATCAACAGCGCTTAACAACTAAAAAAAAAACTACAATAAAATTCAAATTTGTAAACTAATTACATGTACATGAATATTTAACAATGTATATTACAGTCAAAGTAGGTCAAGCGTTCCTGTCGCTAACGAACTAATGAATTCATTAATGGAAAAATGATTTCGTTTGTTGATTCAATAGTGCGGGCGGGTTCTGAACTTCAAACCCAAACAAACTGTTACATGTACGCCATTTTGCTGCCAGTAATCAGAGTAACATGATGGTCAAACTGTGGTCAGTGTATGTGTGGTGATTGGTGGATTTCGATCCTCGGCCTTTGTCAGTTTCTTTGCGTTTGCGGTCTGTCTATTCTAGCTGTTATTTTGATTAAAGGTAATGAAAAACGCAATCGTAAACGGTAGGAACAGACAAGAATAAAGAACAGGTAGATTTTGTTCATAAACCAAATCAACATTTAATTGTTGAATCGAGGTCCAATTTGACTATTGCATTATTCATTTTATGAATGGATTATTGAATCGACAAACCGAACCATTTTTCCATTCATGAATTTATTAGTCCACTAGAGGCAGAAACGCTTGACATGCTTTGACTGTAATAATAATAATAATATAAAATATTTATAATAATGATAATAAACTTCATTAGTAATACTAATAAAGTGAGTGTCAAACAGGTTACGTTGTAAAACCCCGCACGAAATAAATCTTGAAGTTTTCAGCTTACATTTAAAAATAGCTAATGATTGAATATCACGTAATTCAGCCGGCAAACTATTCCACAAATATGGGGCAGCAGCAGAGAAAGATTGTCACCTAACGTGAAAAGCATTTTCCGTTTAGGAGGGTCTAGCAATAAACTTTGATTTGATCTCAGATTATATATAGACCTAGGCTTAATGTTAAGTAGTTCTATGATATACTTAGGCGCCAATCCATGAATAGCTTTAAATGTCAAAATTAAGACCTTAAAATGAACACGATCTTGTACTAGTAACCAGTGAAGTTGATAAAGCGCGGGAGAAATATGCGAGTACTTATTTAAGCTCAGTACGAGTCTAGCCGCAGCATTCTGCACACGTTGCAATTTAACTATTTGCGAGTTAGGAAGGCCATACAGAAGTCCATTACAATAGTCTAAACGACTAGTGATAAAAGCATTAATAAGCGTTAGTAACGAATCGCGAGATAAATACTTCTCAATCCTTCTAATATTATGTAGGTGATAACTGAAACGCGGCATTACAGATTTTAGTAACATGCGTTGACATTGACAACTTATTATCAAACCAAGCACCTAGATTTCTTACACAGGAACTAGGATAAATATCATAATCACCTACAGAGATATAACATACATCATTGATCTTACATAATTGTTGTCTAGTTCCTATTAATATCAACCCAGTTTTTTCACCGTTGATCATTAGGCATCAGAGGCCGGGTTCTTTTCTAAGGAGAACAGCGATCGTTAAAATTGTATCAGATCAACGCTGATCCATACCCAGTACAATAAAAGACAAAGGATTATGGAGTGCACGATGGAGAGAAAATGTTAAATACGCTTCGAAAATGTACCACGCAAAGCTGAAGTGAGCTAAAGTAAAATCATGAGGTGGCTATACCCATCCAAAACGCAAAATACGCAATTACTTCGATAAAAAGATGCAAACTAACCTTCCTGCCAAGTAAAAGTTGGTGTTTTATCCCGAAACGTAGAACTCCCCGGGTTTAAACCAAGAAAACTTGCATCGGCATCGTCAGCACATATTTCCGAAAGGGAGTGGGGAATGTACTGTCCCAGAAATCCGTGCGCCAAATAAAAGGCTTGACTGCTTTCGGTTTCTTCACGCGTTCCCTCCGACGAAGGAGGATTTCGTGACAGGCTAAAAGACCGTGTGAATGGCCTTGTAAGAAGCAGATCTTTTCGGACCTCTCACCAAAAAAGACCCTCAGTGGTTCGACTCCCGTAAGCGACCTCTAACTCTTCGCTTTGTAGGTGGTTGTTTAAGGGAGGTTTAACCTATTTGATTGTGATGCTGAACACAAGTTCTGTCGGTGGTGTCTCTAAGAGGTTATTACTAAGTGTTAGACAAAAAAATCCAGCTTTCAAAAATCAGGAAATATAAACCTTGACCTACTGTTTATGATACAGAACATAAGGTAGGTGGATGTTTTGTTTTACTAGCTTATACAAGTCCGATACTCACAGAGAACTATTCAAATATAACCTTACGCTATCTCGTGCGACAGTGTAGTTTACTCCTTAATGGTCCTCTGTTTCACTTGATAAAACCTAGCCTTAGAACGCTTAACTAAAACTACCCTTACAACTAGCAACGCCTCACATCTTAAGCAATTGATTATGATAAAGAGCGTTAGTTCCGGGGCTTTTCTAAGCCACTTGCTAAGAGTGATTTAATGACACTAACAGAAAACCCTACACGTAAATCGTTTCTATTGTATAAGTTTCGAACCATCCGTTTATGAGGTTTTCCCGCTGCATTGTTCACACCATCTCTTGGGTTTGGAAGATGCAGATCACGCTTCAGATCCATCATTGTGGAGCACTCAAGGCCTGTAAGATTAAAAACAAAACAAAGAAAAGACAACCATGAGACACAAAACGTTCCTGCGAGTTTTTTGAACAGCTTCAAAATCTCTGATTTAGATAAACTCATTCTTGCACTAATATTAAGATTTGGGGTTATTGGTCTAAGAAATTGGACGCAAAGTTTAGCCGTGACTTTATCAGGTATAAAGACACTCATTAAACGTTAATTTCTTTTGGTTTTTCTGTATGAATTATCAATGAGTTTTTGAAGTTGCATCTTTAACTGCGATTGTCTTCCTTGCATTGTCCCTTCATCCCACAGTTCCAACATATGAAATTCATATATTCATTAATGTTGCATTCATAAACAACCCGTCAAAGTAATACAGTCTAACAGCTGAGCCTCTGTCGCCGGCAACAAAGAACGCTACGCGATGCTCAAGTACCGTAAACCCATAGAGTAACAGGCAAAGTGACTTTCCCGAAATTTGTTTGACGTTGTTGGATACACTGATTTTCGCGAAATAATTCTTAAGAACGAACGCATTTCTCACCTTTGCTTTCCTGTTGACTTTGTCTCGAGGCAATTTTACCTCGATAAATGCGCACATACGTTCGGAGTTCCAGAGGCCAAAGGCGATCAAACCCTTTTGAGGGAAGGAGACCAAACAGGAAGGCCACGTATCCATATCAAGTACGCTAAGCAAATCTCCAGTCTTAACATTAAATAACCGAAGACAGGAACTTCCTGGTCTATCCTCGCAGTCGATTACACATTCCGCGTCACTAACAAACGCACACTTCGTCACGTGATCGACTGTGCAAAGGGTGCAGACAGTGGCCCCTGAAGACGCATCAAGCACGTGTACTTCTTGCTTACACTGAGGGGATTTTGCTGAGATCAGGACAAAGTTTTCCGTTGGAGAAAACATGCCAGGGAGATTCCACGAGTACAACAGAGAATCTTTAAAAACTCTCTTCCACAGACTACCTCTATCATCTGACAGCTGAACTGAGTCACGAGCCGTGGATAACAGCTGAAATTTACTGTTACATTCTATTACTTCTTTATACATAATTGGACATGTTGACTGGTATCCCTCATGACAAAGTGAGATGGTCTTCACTATGTCTCCACTTAATGTGTCCAGGATGTTCACTTCAAACCTTCTGCCCACACATGCTACACAATGGTCCGTGACTGGCATCATATACGTAACCTCGCATAGACTGGGCCAACTTCGGACTTGTTGAGACAACTCAAAATTCCATAGCTGAACAGCAGTCCTACGATGACGTTGTTTCAAAAGGACACCATTGGTCAATGTCACAAGACAAATACCATTGTCAGAATAGTTTGCGGTCGTAAAAGGCTGTTTAGGATAATGGAGACCACGACAAGTACTAATCTCTATCTTTGCTGTAAGTTTTCCACTTGATACATCAAAAGATACCACTGCTGCTTCCTTGTCTTCAGTGACACCATAAACGGACTTCCCATCTACAGCAAAAGCAACATGACGGAGTCTTCTATAAGACGTGGTTGTTGCAATTTTCATTTCACCAGGATTGAACATGGCAATGCGGTTGTTTCCAGGGAATGCCCTCAATACATTTTGTCTGTTCAAGACAAACGCAAACGCTCCTTCTACAAGAACCCAATGGGGTCCCAAAAAGTCCTCTAAACGCCTGAACGAACATGATACAGGATCTCCCATCAAGAATCCAGCTTTGCTGGATGATTCATAATCCCAAGGTTCATAGTCAACGTTATCGTTAACAACATCCAAGGAAAAAGTGCCACAAGGCAAGTTATTGACGTTCACGCGAATGCCTTTTGGGTATCTCTCCCACATAGACTTTACTGGTTTACACCAGCAAAACAGAAATTTGAGGTTAAGGGCAAACTTGATCATTCCACATGGTAAAACAGTGGTGATCTCTGCAAGTGTCTCAAAGCAATTCAATGCATCAACCAGACAAACCAGTCCCGAAAGATGAGAAATTGCTAGTAGCATTCGATCTGGAGACCAGGCAAAAGACAATACAACCTCATCTCTCTCAGTTCGAGTGATCTCTTCGCCATTTGTTAGACTCCACATGACTAGGCATTTTGCATCACTAGGGAAATCTGTAATCATACTATCCCCATTAACTGAACAAACGGTAAATTTGCAGTTGCTATTAGGGAACAGTGGAAGGAAAGCTCCGTCAATTGAGTAGGCATGGCTTAGGATTCCAGGAAGAACAATGGGCTTAGTAGGGTGAAAAAAAACGGAACGATAACATGACAAAACAGATGATTCGGGTACCACTCTGAACGCGTCAAGATCATCAACGAAACGTTTACCGAACTTGACCGGACGTTTCCATATTTGCTTCCCTGTCTGTACTGACCATAGCTGAATCGTCCCGTCCCTACATTCACACACCAAGAACTCCTGCTGAGGTGAAATATCAAAACAAGCCACTCGAGAGGTACAGCGAAACAAAGCCTGAACCTCAATTTCCTCTTCCATAGCCCCCTTGTGAACGTACTTCATGTACGGTATATCATGATATTTGGTCTGCAAGAGTTCTGTCGCTTCACCAGTTAAATCGTCTCCTCCTTCGTTCACCATCACTTGGAAAAAAGAAGTGGGATTCGTCGTAAGTCTTTCATGGTACTTTCGTAAAAGAAACAACAACCTGCCAAGGGCGTTTTGGCTCTCACTGCTCAATAACTGAAAAGCTTCTTGTTTCTGAGTGAGGACCATGTCCTCAGAACTAGCCGTGTCGTTTACACATAGCTTTGCATACACAATGTCCAAGTCCGTGACATAGTTGTTAACGATTTCTTCAAAGCTTCTTGTACTCTCTTCCAGCTCTTCCGACTCGAGCATATGACAAACGCCATGCTGTAGGGCGTACCTCGCAGTGTCACTGAATTCAGTGCCGTGAACGCCTTTTCTTTTGACGTTATTCAGTTCAGTAGTACAGAGCTGGGAAAGCATGGCATGACCTTGCTTTTCAAAAACAGAGAAGTTGTGGCGCCCGTAGGCAGTTCTGTCAGTCAACCAGTCCTTAACTGATTTGTGGAAGAACACAATGCAGTCATCATGAACAGGAAGAAGGGTTGAGATAGATTCGATAGCTTTTCTTACTTTTCGATGACTAGATGGGGACTTCGAGTCCGAAATCAACATCTCAGAAACAAAGTCTAGAGGAAGTGGTTCTCTTGCAGCTGCCAGAGCACTTAGAAAAGTCAAAAACTGGTCCTCACCAATTTTCAATTCGTTCTCTAAACGTTCAAAGTAGGACTGATAAACAGACGATACACCTGAAGGTAAGATTCTTCCTAACTCCTCGGGGGTAAGAAGTAAAACGTTTTCCTTGATAAAATCGGCCATCAAATAAGCATATAAAAAATGCCCTGCAGCCTCTCGGACCAGTGCATCGACAACAACTTCTTGAAAGCTTGATTGAATGACGCTGCACAGCTGTCTTTCAAGAAAGAGTCTGATGTCTCCTACATTTTCTTTATCATCTTGCTCTAGTAGAACAGGGTTGAACTTTTTAAGACGGTCTGCGATATTTATTTCCGGGCGAGTTGTAACACAAAATCGAACCCAACCAGGAAGTGTACTAAACTGATTAGCCATGACATCAAGCAGCTCGTTGCGGCCTTTGTATTCACTTTCATCCAGGCCATCAATCACCATGAGCAAGCTTCTTCCCGGATCATCTACATTTATTAAAGGCTCCTCGAACAGCAATTCAAAGAGCTCTCCAACCTCTAGGTTGTTGATATCTTCACCCAAATTTCTTGACAGTGCTTTTACAAGTTCTCTTTTATATGGAAGCAAAAACTCACTCAGCTGATAAGCTAACGATTGAAGCATTATCTTAGGATTTCTAGGACGTGCCTTGTTGTGCTGACAAAAATGACTTCCCGTCAGCCGACCAGCATGTCGCATTCTTTGACAAACGACAGCGGAAATCACTGATTTGCCCATTCCTGCATCCCCACTGATTACCATGACACGATTTTTAGAAGTACGGTCGTTTAGCCACAACTCGATCTTCTCAAAGACAGAAATGCGGGTTCCTCTTGATACTTGTCCAAGTGAGTTTGAATCACTTTCTTGGTGTCAACAACTGCCAGTTTTTTCAGAACTTCATTTTCTTGGTCTTCTTTTTTCTTCTGTCTTCCTTGAGCTGCAGTACTTCCTGGATTTTGGCTTGAGATTGACGGATATCCTTAAGCTCTGTTTTTATTTCCACATCACTGTCAGCCCACTCAAATAAGGCATCAAGATAATCTTCCTCTCCACCACTCTCCGCCTTAAGTCTGTCAATTTCAGCTTGATCCAAACCGAGAGAAAGTAGAGCAGCACTTATTTCTTGCCACAGGGAAGAGAAAATTGCCGCATCAAAAGCAGTGGAAGTCACGTGACCATACAACTCGTTCCGGAAGAACTTAACACGAGCAAGGTTAGCTTCAAGAGAGTTATCACCAGGGGATGGCTTGATGTGCCACCCTGTCAGGGGAGGGGATAAACCACAAATGTTGGTTAGTAGAAGGAACAGAAGAGTGATGTCAAAGGTGTTGGAGTCTGGTACCCCTCCACCAGGGGGAAACAATTTGTCCCACTGATGCTTATTTAGTACTCTTTTACGCGAAAGTTTGCTAAGTATGGAGTAATTGGAGTTGAGGTCAGAAGCCAAGTTGGTAGGAGGGTGATAGTAATCAAAAATATTCCTCAGCACTGTTGTTCCGCCATCGATGAGAAGCCTGCTCAGCTTGTTTCCATTTGTCTTTTCTGGAGAGCTGGCCAAAGGTGAAGGTGCTGCAGTTGCCATGCTAGTAAAAAGATAGACAGCATCAGCAACAGTACAATAATTTTATTCTGTTATTTGCAAAAAAAAAAAAAATCGGCACAGTGTGACAGTTCCTATCTGAACAAGTGGCATATAGAGTGAAGGACACCTGTTAACATGACTTCAAGTCATCACTGCAGGGTTGTAATCACTATCTCATGCTGATGAGCCCAAACGAGGCCAAAACAGTTGTCCACAGTTGTATGCGTATTGGTAAGATACTAGCAAGGCCATAGGTTGGTGCCTGAGTATGTCAATCCCTCACTCTTAAGGTTGTTCTAAGCACATATTGCACCCCCCCCCCACTCCCATGACCCCTTTTAGGTCGGGTCTGAGGCACGGTAGAGAAAAACACATCTCATAGTTTAAAAAGATTAGGGTTCTGTTTTACAAGACATGCCTCACAATCCCACCCAGATTTTTCTAGGGATACCCCTACCTCCCCCACTCCCAAGGTAAAATAAAACAAGGTAATTAACATGACAAAAGAAAATAGCACACTCTGATTGGCCAATTACATATTTACATTTTGCCCATGGCTGATTGCTAACAAGCTAGTGCATGCTCAATTCCCATGAGACTACACTTTTACATCTTATTTTTGCCTCACAGTTTGCAAAGAATTTTATTATCCTGCTGAGAGAAAAGATACAGAAGGCAAGCAAGGGCCTAGCATGAAGTTTTTGA